GGCACACGGAAAAGACCCTCTGCAAAACAGAAGTGAAAACTTGGTCTCTTCTAAAGGGCTGGGGACTTTGAAGTCTTTGGAGTCTTCCTTCCCTAACTTAGGGCTGTTCAGTTTGAAGACAGACAGGACGGCTGATTGACCCACAACTATTGTGTCCTGAGGAGGCTTTGAACTTGTGCCACTCTGACAGCAGGAGACTTACTGGTAGAAGAAAAAAAACCCCACAAGGCCTTTGTTTTAAGCTGCCAGGATTTAGTCTCAGGTTGGGAGGGTGAGGAAGGAGTCAGCCATCTTGGGAGTTCATCATCTTTCCTCTCCCTGTCTGCCTGCCTGCCAGGGAGTCTGTCTAAACCCCTAGTCTCTCACATTAACACCATAGAGACACGGAAAGAAGTTGTTGAAGTGGTCACTCTTTAAAGCTGTCCATCTTACAGCTCACAGCAAAGGACTGGGAGAGATAAGAACAAGGCAGTGGAATGACTTCTATGCTGACTTGCCAGAGCACTTTAGAATCATTTTCATGAAGAGACACCCAGATCTCTCTTCACTTTTGACTTGTTCTAACCACACCGATTGAACAGGATTCTACTGTTCTCTGGCTAGCCTTGAATTAGAAGGTGAAAAGAAGGTCAACTAGAGGTAGACACATTGATAGTGGTTAGAAGAAACTGTCAAGACCCAGAAACACCATTTTGAGGTTCTGTGAGGAAGGAAGTGACTAGTCAGAAGTGATGAGGCAGGAGGTCCACAGCAGGACATCGGGGCCAGCAGTGTGGAGGTCAGCAGGCTATCTCATTGGGGTCTGTACTCAGGACAGAGCACACTGTGAGGAATGTTGCTTTGCTGGTGCCTCAGAGTCACTGAGAGCATTAAGAAGAAACTGCCCATCCACGAGGGCCACTCCAAAGTGTGCCTCCATTTTCAGCAACACTGGGAATTAACCTTGACAAAACCTTCCAGGATCTGAGAGCATTGATGATTTTACTGTAATTAGCATGACAAGGAAGTTTTAAGGACTTGTATTTCTACCTTTTTTCCCTTGTGCAACAGTGCTGTCAGGCGAGACTAGGGGGGAGAAGTCACTTTGGGTCCTGGGAGTATGAGTCAAGAAAAAAATTTTAATCATCTCGGAGGAACTAACCTGAGTAATTGATGATGTCACTAGCTTGGGACTGTCCACCTCTCAGAGGGACCAGCCTGGGTCTGGGCCACTTGCTTTACTCACTCTCTGGCAGACACAGAGAATCTAAAATGTACTCTCCAGAAGGGACTTCTGTGATGAACAGTAGGAGTCAGCTGACGTAAGAGTATGCAGGGATTGGAAGGCTCTGTGAAGACTGCACTTCCTCCTGTTAGGCTAGTCCTTTCACCTGGTTTGGCAAAGGAGAAAACAACATACAGATATGTGCTCTTGCTGTAAATCTGATGCAGTGACAAAAGATATGAGGGGTCAGGCACCTTAGCAGGGCTTGGAGCAGAGGCTTCCTCTGCAGGCAGTTACATGCTGGGATGGGTGGAGGGTAAGGCAATTGCAAACCTAGGGGAGGAGGGGTGGCAGAGGGAGGCTGGAGGTGTGTGGAGTGGCCACAATAGACTCCGGATTTGCCTCACTTCTCCTGAGTCCTGGGTCCTAGACGTGGTGGAGGACTACCATAACAAATGGAAGACTCCCAACTCCTTTTTCCTTGCTTTTTGGTTTATCTCCCATTCTGACCTCCACCCTGCTGCTCCACACAAGAAACCAAAGAACTCCTCTTAAAGAGTGATAAAGAAACCCAAACAGAAGACTTGCAACAACTGGTAGTGTGAGGTTTTACCCAATAACATGTTAAAGTTACCATCTGGTAACTCTAAACTGCAGGCCACACACAAACAACTCTCCTGCCCTTACAGCTTATGGTTTCACTGCCCCCTCTTACATATGAACCAGCAGAGAAGGACTGGAAATGCAAAGACCACCCCTAACTAAGAAAGAACAATAACCTATTTTCAATACTCCTGGAGAGCTAGGATACACTGAACTGCTTAAAAAAAGCCTATAAAAAGGAATATTGAGAGATAAATAAGGCTTTTGAAAATTAAAAAAGATTAAAAGAATTTAAAAAGTATGCATTTAAACAACAGAAACTCCCTCCAAAGTTGGGAGAGACAGGCAGGCAGGTGCACATGCATACACACACACACACACACACACACACACACACACAGACAGAGACAGAGACAGAGAGACATAGACACACACACACAGATGTCCTATTGAAGGGCATGAAACTTTCGATTACAAGTATTTGAGTATTCAGACAGTAAATGAGGATGGGCCTCACCAAGGCATGTCATACCACCCTTTAGAACACTGGTGAGGAGGAGATGGAGGCCTATGATCCTTAACAACAACAAAAGACTGCACTGGGAAAAGAAGACAGTGGGGAACATTTTAAAAATGTTCAGTAAAAATGATTTCTGATCTAGAATTATTCCCAAAGAGCCACTTGTAATCCATAGTTGTGAACATGCTTCATAAAAATAATAAAATAGTAAATTGATGAGGGGCAGATGGGATCCAGAGAAAAGGAATACTAGTAACGCATACCTCAAATACCCATTTGACACAGAGATTACTATAGTGAGAGCATATGTGGGGTGTTTTTATTTAGGGAACAGGGTGTATATAGACTTGTGTTAAGTCCATCACTGTGATACAAGACTGTCAGGACAGGAATTTTTCTTCAATTCACTATGAATTCCTGTGTCTAAGACAATACCCTACACATTGTAGGTCCTCAACAAATGTACATTGACTAAAGGAAACCTGATATGGAATATTCCTTCTGGGAAATTTGTTAAGAGAAAAGCTAGTTAAGAAACTGTATTAGTTATTTTCCTGTTGCCATGACAAAAATCCACTTAAGAGAGGAGGTTTATTATGGCTTACATTTTTTTTTCAAGACAGGGTTTCTCTGTGTAACAGCACTGGCTGTCCTGGAACTAGCTCTGTAGACCAGGATGGCCTTGAACTCACAGAGATGCACCTACCTCTGCCTTCCAAGTGCCAGGATTAAAGGTGTGTGCCATCCCCTGGCATAAGGTTTACATTTTAATAAGAATGTTTCTATCATGGAGAAGTAGTTATGGCAGCAGGGGCTAGAGGCAGCTGGTTACAGCTTGAGGTAACAGGAGCTTCCAGTCAGGAAGCAGAGGGACATGAGTGCACTTCCTGCTCTGCTGCCTTTCTGCCTTTGGTGCAGCCCTTGAAATGGTGCAACCCACATTTGAGATGGGCTTTCCCTCTTCAATTCCTGTAATCTAGAAAACTCCCTCGCAGATATGCTGGGAATTTGTTTTCATGGTGACTCTAGATCCCATCAAGTTGACAGTTGAGAGTAACCATCACAGATACATTATCAGAATTTCCAATGTCAGACAGCGCAAAGTTGTACCAAGTCTATCCATGGCTTAAAACTAATGGTTTTCAAAATATTTAAGCTGAGCATCAAAATATTGAAGAGATTTTTAAAGGCCAGATATGTTCCTAGGAAAGTATGCTTTATGCTAGTTAGGTTGATGGGAGACAGCTTGAAGCTCAGGTCAGTTCCAGGGAAATCAAGATGCAATTTTCTCCACTTAGAAAGCAAATTACCTTACAGACTTTTCTTCTTGTTCATTCACTAATATAATTCCAAGCTAGGTTGTTTTGCTTTTCAAGCTGGTGGACTCTTCTGAGGAGAACTTCCTCTGAGAGACCCCAGAAAATTTTTTTCTGTACACCCATTCCTCTTATTAAATAAAAAGGTGAGTGCTTTCACCTAATGACTCAAAATTGGGTCTACTATCTAGTTTAATTTGACTATGAATTCACTGTCTGATTCTGGTCTAATAACCTTTAAAAGTGTTCATTGACTCACTATTTCACTCTTTCTGACTTCACCAATTTGTTCTGTATATACATACCTTATTCACTGGGTAAGGGAAAGAAAAAAACAGGTCAAATAATTCTGGCTAATTGGCTGAACTGGCTATACTTATTTTTGTCGGAGGTCAGGTTCAGAAACTGCTGCATATTCCACCCTAGTTAGTCAGTGCCGGGCTGGGGGCTGTGTGGAGAGCACACGCATGTCTGGGGAATGTGCCCTGACTGCCCTCTGACTGTCTCAACACTTCTGAAGAGTCCTAGTGTTGCAGATATTGTCTTTGGAGACTATGTGGGCCTCCCACTCTAATTTGGGGGCTCCATATTCCCCCAAATAAATATTGTGGAGGCTTCTGGGGAGACTGGTCAGAATTCCCAATACGTCCCACTACTTGCTTTCCTATTCCTCATGCATGTCACTGATGACTGGGTCAGGCTGCAGAGTTGAGGGGTGGGAGTGTCTTCATCCAGTCTCTCCCTTAAATGATGGCCCAGTGCCCTGTGGAGAATGATGCTGCCTGGAATTGCTGGACCACAAGCTTTGCCAGACCCCAAGGACAGTGGCGGTAGTACAGGGACTGATGATGCCGGCTATAGATACTCTTTACCTCACAAACTTATCTTTCAAGTCCACAGTCACTCTCTAGGTCCCAAACTCAGAAGAGAAGCACAGATGTCACCCTATTATTTGCAGGACTTTTGGAGAGAAGGCCCTCAAATAGCGGCCATGTGCATGATTCTTCTTTTGTCCAGAAGTGAAGGCAATGAGAGCCCTTGCTTTCACGAAGACCATCCTTTAGAGAGCATTGGTGGGACGCCCTACGTGGGCCCTCACTACAAAGCTGTCCTGTGCCTATGCTTTCTGCAGCTTTGATCTTGATCTAGCTTCACTACAGAGTTCCTGGGGGAACTGCCTCTCCTTATGCATCATGCATTGCTCATGAGGATTGGAGGCCAGTGGGAGTTTCCGAGTCAGGACTTTTTCTTGGGGGAGGGTGGCATCATCTGTCCTTGCTCCAAACACTAGGGCATGATAAAGAAAAATGACTTACAGGATGTGGGTAAACACTCCCTAAGTTCCTCTTTGATTCTCAGGAGCTGAACGCCAGGTGTGGACCTTCACAAGCCTCAGGATACTCTTTCCTACAGATTGCACTGCCTGGGCCCTTGGGGAGTCTTTGTACAGCAATTAAGCTATGACAGGGAAAAGCCAGAAGCCTTGGAAGTAGGTGATGGGTCTCTTTGGAAAACTCTAGACACAGGTGTATCTTCTCCATGCACCTGGGAACAGGGAGAATGCGCAATGTAAACTCACAAAATTGAGTTAAGGAAAGAGGAGATACTTAAGTCTTTTTGTGTGGGGGTGCATTGATCGATTTCCTTGGGGTAAAGTGGAGACGCGTTTATTGCAGTGTGCATATAATTCATGCCTGTTTTTGAGAGCAGAAGCCTGGGGTTGTTTATGACCAGAGCTCAGCTGATTTGGGTTAGCACAGTCTTTTCTGGAGGCAAGAGAGCCTGAGCATTCCTCAGTGGCTGTGTTAATGCCAAATGTACCTACGGTCCTGAAGCTTGTTTAACCAGCAGCTGAGCGAGTGTGAAAGTCCCCTGCTGACCCCTGGGTTGTGGAGCCACCTGCTCAGGTGGTGGGTGCAGGACCCTGGCTCAGCAGTCAAGCTGAGCGGAGTGGGGTGGTGGAGGGGAAGGGAGCAGAGATCTGGTAAACCCGCCAGGAGCGCAGGGAAGTGCGTTAACCTACACCACTGCTGCAGTGTGGGGTCCTGGGTTTGGATAGGGGAAACAAAAAACACAGTGTAGGATTTGGAGGATCTGGTGTCGAAGGAGAATGTCCAGTCCCTTGTGCAGTCTGTTAGCTTGCTCCCGAATACTCTCTAGTTTCTACCTCTTTTAGGCTAGCGATGAGAAGGACTGCTAGAGTACCGGTTGTGGGCAGGCATGTCAGAAGTACACTAATGGATCCTAGGACCGGCTCCTTCCCGCGGCAGTCATCTTCCTGCTTGCATCTAATTGAAGTCCGTTTAGAGCCCAGGACTGTTGCTCAACCTGCCTGAGTCCAACCAAGAGGTCCAGGCCCCCACTGGAGGGGGCAGCGAAAAGGTTATGGGCGTTCAGGCGCTAAAGAGGTCGTGACGCCAAACTCTTGTCTATTTTGTTCACACATTCTGGACGAATCTACCCTCTCTCAGTCTCCTTACCCCACCCCCACCCTGTTCCTCAGCAATGACCTCAAGGCAAAGACAGCCCGTGGACAGCTGCCTCCCTGCTGCAGCAGTGTAGGTAGCTCCAGCTATGACGCGGTCAGAGCTCTGATTGGCGGAGAGATTTGTGAGGACCCCCCCGCCCCCAAGACCAGAGAATAAGAGACCGGGACTCTGGGGACCAGGCGTCTACAGCCAGCCGTGTGTGCTCTTCTCCAGTGGACACTCGGCTCTCGCTGTGGAACACTCGGGTTACCAGGTGAGGAACTAAATTTTCAACTCATTCGGCTTACTCTCCGTTAGTTTGTCTACTTCATTGTTGTTCTTTTTGAAGCAATATTTCACACTGTAGTAATTCGGGCTGGCCCGGAACTCACTGTATAGCTTTGGCTGGTCTCAAACGCTGGTCTCAAACCCTCCTTTCTCAGCATCTCTTACAGGCGCACACCACCACACCCAGCTCTACTTGGCTCCCTTTGCTGACCAGGTTCTTTATTCCAAATCCACGTCTGCCTTTCTCCAGCCGGGAATCAGTCAGAAAGTGCAGTCGTGGCATTTTTATCTTAGAGTGAATGGGACTCTGAAGCACACCCGCAGGAAGATGGGCGACTCCACCTAGGCGTGTGTGTGGCTACTCTTTGGGGATAAGTGGTCTTGCCGCACCCCATCCAGTTTAGGAATGGGTGGTCCTTGGATCCGGGGCTAGGGAGCAGAGATCTTTTCTCTCAGATGTTTCCAGCCTTTAGCTCCCCAGGGTCATCAGCAAGGGTCTGGGGTGCAGCGGGGAGAGGAGTCCAGCACCAGGGGCTAAAAAGTACTTCTGCAGCTCTGAGACAGTTTAACTGGGACTCAAAAAATTCTCCTAACCCTGCAGATGGGGAGGTTAGTTCTTTCCATGCTACCTTTCCAGCCTCCTCAGGGCAACTGCTCAGATAAGGTGGTCCTACATCTTCAGCCTGTGAGAAATCCAAAGCAGTGGGATATCAAGTTCACTTAGGGGGCTCTGGGCGGTTCTTCACAGCTGAGAGCAAAAGGGGCATTGGCGCGCATGTGCTGCTGCTCCTGCAAGCTGGGTCAAAAGAGTGCTGGCAGTTCCTTGGAAGAGAGAATGTTAACTGCTTTATCGAGCCATTCACTGCCCTGCATCTTTTGATTTCCCTAACAGACGTCTTTCAAACAAAGGAACGGTGGTGGGGGAGGTGAAGGAAAAGTTAGCAGGGCACTTGTGGCAGGGGCAAGACTAGAACCTGGGTCTATGGTCCTTGTGAGTGGACCATTCTTCTCTTTCTGCAGAGGCATCATGGGCTTCTGGAAGTTCTTTCCCTTTCTGGCTCTCAGCAGCGTATGGATCCTGTGCCTGGCCAGCAGCCTCCAGGCAGCACCTTTCAGGTAAATTCGCGTGAATCAGCAGTACCCCTTGTCTCCCCTCCAGCCGCCAGGGATCTGCCAACTGTGGCTCTGCAGCCCCTACTTGGTTACTGGTAAATCAGCGCCCTCAGGTGGGCACTGACCTCATGACCTGAGCACTAAGCCCCCGGGGAAGGAGCCGGGACAGGGATGCTGGGCTGCTTCCCTGGGGAGGAGAAAGGCAGGGAATGAGAATCTATGCTAGGTTTGCTACCTTCTCAGGTCAGCCTTGGAGAGCAGCCTGGACCCTGATGCCCTCAGCAAACAGGAAAAGCGGCTCTTGCTGGCTGCACTGGTGCAGAACTACTATGAGCAGATGAAGGCCAGGAAGCTGGAGCAGGAGGAGCAGGAGGCTGGGGGCTCCAGGTAAGGCTCCACCTCACCTGGCCCCTATAGATACAGGAGGACTTATTCCAGAGAGGTACAGAGACACTGGCCAGTACTCAAAGAAAACTAAGCTAACTGTTCCCAGTCTCTGTGGAAGACAGAGGTTCCGGTGCCACCAGAGGGACTCGCACAGGTTAGACACGTTAAAATTTTGTTTTCTCCTCAAAACTCTTGGGAAAGGAAAGGAAATGTAGATTTGCTTACTGTGTCTATGGGGCTACTTTGCTGCGCTGGCTGGAGGAGGGCAGTAAGTATGATGCCAGAGGTTAGACTAGAGTGTCAGGGAGTTCCAGTAGCTTCAGGATCTGTTGTTGCTTCACACTGGCAAGGAGCCTTCATTCCACCTTTGAAGGGGAGTCGGAAGGGTACGAGCAGTCTGGGATATGTACAGCAGTGTCTGAGGTAGGTCCAGGGCATCTGCAGAGGTGTGCACGTTGCTACAGGGTCAGTGGCCTGTGTGCCCCATGCCTGGAAATAGACCAACCCTGGCCTGGCTCCAGCACTACTCAAGGAAAGGCACGTGTTGATCTGCACCCCCTGAGAAATCCCTGATAGCATGAAAGACAGAACAGCACATGGAATGCTAGAGTCACCCTTTTCCTCTGCCTTCCCCACACTGTCCTGGCCCACTGCACCCCTAAGCCTTCCTAATGGCGTACGTGTGAATTGACTTCCTACCACCCCCTGTCCCGACTTCTAGTCCCCTGCCTGGTTTAACCTGCTGCTTGCCCCTGGGATCAGCCCCCAGTGGTATGGAGCATCTAAATACACGAGTTTCGGGCATGTAGGTAGAGGATCTGAACAACTTTCCTACCTTCTCTGGTGTTGACTTGGGGCTTAGAACACCAACAAGAAAAGAACACAGCAGGTCGCTTGCAGAGGGTCTGAAGTGTCCAGGGTGCCACCAAGCTCTTCTGTGTCCTTCCTGGTTTCCTCTCTTGCTTCTACCTTTGAACTTGCTGCATGTGCATGCGTCTGTTGTTCTGAAGTTGGCAACAGCAGATTTGAGTGTGACTGAGAATGTCAGGGACTTGGGATGGGAAGGGAGAGGACAGAAGCCGTAGACCACGTTTGAGGTAAGAGACAATGAGGGAACCTTCTGGAGCATTTGGATAACTTCGTTTCCTGCTTCTGAATACTGAAATAAGCACATCCCTTACATCTCATTTTTTTTCTGGAAGAATCAGAGTTGTAGTGATCATTGCTTTAGTCAACTTCTGAAACTTGCAAGTGGCCAGGGCCTAGGAAATAGCTTTAACTTCAGGCAAGCTGGGCACAGGGCTTGATGGACCATCTCTGTGATGCAGCTATGGCAGCAAGCAGCTTGCTAAGGATCAGATAAACACTTCTGAGATGATGCTGCAACCGATTTTCTTAACTTTAGCAAGGTAAGAAGTATTTATTTATTTATTTATTATTTTGGTGATGGTCTGGGGAAGAGTTTCTGGCAAAGACTCTCAGGTCATTTCCCTGAATAGTTTTGATAAATGTACTTAGGAGAAACACTCACTGTTAAGTGGCATTTTGAAGGGATGGAGTTCTCAGGGGTAGGCTCCACCCCAGCTCTCACTAAAAAGACTTGTCTTCTTTTTCCATCCTGAATATCAGCATCACTGGCCAGAAGAGATCCTGCAACACTGCCACATGTGTGACCCATCGGCTAGCGGGCTTGCTGAGCAGGTCAGGGGGGATGGTGAAGGACAACTTTGTGCCCACCAATGTGGGCTCCAACGCCTTTGGCCGGCGCCGCAGGGACCTTCAGGCTGAGTAGCTAATGGCCCCAAGAAGAAGGTGATTTTTTCCTCTGGGTTGGGAAAGGAAGGATGTGGGAGTAAAGACTCACATCCCGAGGTCTACTGACAGCGAATGGTAGGGCCTTTGGGCCCCCTATCTCTAGCACTAGTCTTTTTCCTGAGGTAATGAGTTCCTTCTCAAACTGAACTTGAACTTGAAATCAGAATAGCAGGAGAGATTGCAGGGTAGCAGTGCCTTGTTGTCAAGGTGTGAAAGGAAGAGAAATGCTGTCTGGATTTGGAAAGGAAGGGCCTGCAAACCTTACCCGTTGCTGGAACTCACAAATGAACGCAGCTTCTGCAGGGCTCTACACATGGTTGCTGTTCCCCAGTTCAGATCAGAGGGCTATGCACACACCACTACCATCGTCTTTAGTATCTTTTCTATTTTTGAGAAAGTTTCAAGCATCCCAAGCTGGCTTCCAGCTCATTATATAGAGGCTGACTTTGAATTCCTGACTATCCTGCTCCAATTTCCAAGTTCTGAGATTGCAGGGTCTCCAGGACACCCACCACCACTTCAGTATTAAGAGGGACAGTACTATAAGCCTCATACTCCAAGTTCAGAATTCTTGGATTGCTTAGCAGAGGAGCCGTTTATGTAAATCAGCACTGTTAGGGATGATTGTGGCCACTCACGTGTCTGTATCCTTCTTCTTTCCCTTGCTCTCCCCTCTTCTCCTCTCTCCTTTTGCCTTCTCTTCCTTCTCTTCCTTTTTGTTTCTCTTCATCTCAGGTTACGTGAAACCGAATTCATCCTGCCTATTATTTTTTGTTAGCAACGACCTGGGAAGAGGGCCCCATGGACAAAGCGCGCGTTTGCATCCTGATAGATACTGGAGAAGATCACTGTCACTTGAGAGGAATGAAACTGAGTGGAAATGAGTTAACTCTGTGTTTGTTTGCATCATTTTTATGCTGAGTCTGTGGCCAGTCAATGTGGTGGCGTCTCCCACTGGCTTCCCTAACAGCAAACCACACAGGTTCTTTGAGAGCCACCCAACTGATGGCTCTGCTGACCCTTAGGGAGACGTGAAATCACTGCCTCTTGTAGCCTCTGGGGACTCTTGGTAGAGGAGATACTGTGCCTTGGTGTCTCAGAACATTTATTTAAGGAAAAGTAACAATTGTACCATTTGTGAACTTCATCAAGATTAAAACATATTTTGAATACATTTGTTTTGAGTCTGTGGTGGTCCATTTCAAATTGTCTTCCTATGTAATAATAATAATAGTAATAATAATAATAAATACTTTTGAGTATTCAATGTTATTCAGTGTTCTAAGAAATTGTTATGTACCTGTGAATTAACTTAATCTTCATGGGCAAGCCATAGGAAGATAACCACATTTGAGGAGATAAAGGCATGGTGAGGAGAGATTTAAGGTCCCATTAATGAACTGTGCAAGACCTGTGATGGTTTTCAGAGCACACAGCAGAAACCATCATGCCTTATGTTATCATCAGTGTCTTCTGACATTTCCCAGATATCTGTGAGCCATCCTTTGGCCTTCCTGCCTGACATGATAGGCCCTTACATTTTGGAGACACATAAAAAATTTAAGCATGTAATGTTTCAGTTCTTGTATAGTATAATGAAGTCTTTGTACCACTTACTTGGTTTCAAGAAAAAATCAGAAGTAGTGTGGCTACATCTACAATCCATCTCTTCTCCTACCCAGTCAGTATATTACCCTATCAGTATATCTATATGGATTTCACCATGCATTTTTAAATGGGAAAGATGCTCAATATAACCAAGGACTACTTAACAAGGAAAATGAACACATTCACTATTTCTTAATTCTTTACTCCCACACATGCAGTAATGGTTTAACCTTCCCCATTTCTTTATACATCTGCATAGAAAATCTTGGCTGATTTGGAGTCTTTATATTGCTTTTGGTTCATACCTTAAGGCCTATTTGATATAGAGGTTCCTTTTCATCTGCTTAGCTCTTGTAACTCATTGGCATGAGAGACTAGGCTATATGTGCAATAGTTTCCTCTATTGCTGTGGTGAGGTTAACATGCAGTTTCTTTGCATTGGCAGGCAGACCTAGAGTGAGTGATGTGGAAGGAGCTGATGAGGCCAGAGATTCAACAGGGTGACTGATATACAGGATTCTGTAGGGCCCATAAAAGACCTTGGATCTCTATCAGTCAAGTTCTAGTTGAAAAAACAAATTACATTAGTCATTTTAACTGGAAATATTTAATATTTAATATAACAATGGCATGCATAGAAGACTGAAGAGAATGTGGAGTACAGAGAGGCTTGAAGAAGGATTATTTTTTTTTCAAGACAGAGTTTCTCTGTGTAGCTATAGAGTCTGTCCTGGAACTCTGTAGACCAGGCTGGCTTTGAACTTACAGAGATCCACCTGGCTTTGCCTCCTGAGTGCTAGGATTAAAGGCATATGCCAATACTTCCTGGACTCAGAGAAGATGTCTTAAACCACTGATAAAGGACATTATCAGACTCCCGTATCTCTTGGTTGGGTGCTGGGGTGATGTTTTGAGAATGTAAATGCAGATATCCCATGGATGAGCAGGGGAGAAGGTGCATCCAGAAGATTCTAGGAATTCAGAAAAACTAAACCAAGCTAGGGATTGGAAATAGCTTCATTGCCAGAGATAGTCAGTACACAAGTGATGCTGATGGAAACAGAAATTGAAATTGGAAGGAACCAGATCCTTTTTGGTTTGGGCTTCTAGTGCCCTTCCAGGAACTCCATTTGAGAGGGTCTTAGGGGTCTAGCTGGCAAAAGAAAAAGTGTCTGGCAGAGTCCTGGCCCCAGGATCTCATTTCAGATATGTAATTTTATATTTACATATTGAAAAGTTCATTCATTTTGGTGTGTAGTTCTGGGAGCAAATCCTTGAGCCATGGAATCAGCACAATGAGGACATAAAGCAACTGCATCATTTGCCAATCCCTCTTGCTTCCTTCCACACTCAGTTGCTCCCTCAATCACAGTCTCTGTTGATCCATCTCGATGGGCTTGACTCCTCCAGAATGTCGCCTGTAATGACAAGGAGACTTATTAATTATGAAGGGTTAGCCTCTTTTTCCCCACCTAGCTCTTCTAACTTAAAGTTCCTATTAATCTGTGTTCCGCCATATGGCTCAGTTTACCTCTCCTCCTTACCATATGTCCGACTTCTTCAGTGTCTCGCTGCCATCTTCTCACACTGTGTACTAGAGTCTTCCTGAGTTCCTCTTTCTGTTCTGAAGTCCCACCTATTGTCTCCTGCCTAGCTATTGGCCATTCAGCTCTTTATTAAACCAATCAGAAGGCACAGTAGGCAGAGACTCATCTTCACAATGTACACAAATATTCCACACCAGTCATCCTTGGACTCAGTATGAAGTCTTGAGTCTGAATTCTTTTCCTTCACAGAATGCATTTGACATTTTTCCATGTCATGGCATATATCACTAGTTTATTTTTGAATTAGTGTAACACATTGTAGAGATGAACCCCAATCCATGTATGTTGTCCCACTGAATGGCACTTGGGATGTTTCTAGCTTTTGACACTTGTGAGTAAAGGTATGGTATTCATGGACAAATTTTAATGTGATGATAAGTAATATGGGCTCACTGAGGATCTTAAAAAGACATGCACATATTCTAATTATTAGAGCTAATTAAATGTTACCTTATTTAGAAAAAGGTCTTAGGTGCTGGTAAGGATCGCAGCACTCGGGAGGCAGGCAGATCTCTGTGAATTTGAGGCCAGCCTGGTCTACAGAGCGAGTTCCAGGACAGCCTCCAAAACAATACAGAGAAACCCTGTCTCAAAAAACAAAACAAACAAACAAACAAAAAAGAAAAGAAAAAAGGATCCTAAAATAAGGTTATTTTGGCTTGTTCAGGAAAGTTATAAGTCTTCTGTATCCTTAAAAGTGAAGAAGACACACAGAAAAGATGATATGAAGGAGGAGACAGAGAGGGAGTAAACCAAGGAAGCAAAGGAGGCAAAAAGTGGGAACTTCTATTAATGGAAGCTGGGAGAGTCTAGAATCCACTCTCCTGAGTTCCTAGGAGTATAGACTTTCCTGGTACCTACATCTTTGAACTTTTGGCCTCTAGAACTGAAAGAGAATATATTTTTCTTGCTTTTTTAGTAACTAACTTTGTGGCAATTTTTTGTGGAAGTCCCAGGAAAATGATACAATAAACTGATTTATGTTGGGTAATACATGGCAGTGCAATTGCCAGATCATTTGTTAAATATTTGACTTAACAAGAAAATCCCAAAATGTTATACTGTTTTGTATTCTCACCAGCCACACATGCAAGTCCTTGTATTTTAGAAAATAGTGTGTGAATCACCACGGGTTTAATTTGAATTTCACCAATCACTAAAGGCGTTTCTTTTCCCCTGTGTTTTTTTGACAATTGTTTATCATTTTATTGGAGTGCCTCTTCAAACACTAAAGGTTTAGTTGGTGATTTTCTTTATTGTTGGTGAGCTTTGAAAATACTTTATATGTTGTAGATGCAGAGTTTTTGTGAGATACACAATTTCAAATATTTCCCTAATTTTTAATTAATTTTTCATTATCTTAGCATGTTTCATAGAGGAAAAGTTTTTACATTTTTATGGAATCCAGTTTGTCAAGATATTTTAAATTTACAAATTTTACTTTGAGTTCATATATAAGAACTTTTTGCCTGGTCCAAGGTCATGATGACTTTGCATTTCCTCATAAAAACATACAACTTTCTGTTTTACATTTAGGTCAATGATCCATTCCAGGTTAGTTTTAGTTAAGATGGGAGGTAGAGGTTGCAATTTCCTTACCTTGTAGATGTCCAGTTGTTCTAGAACTCTTTGCTAACAACAGTGATTGTGTCGCCTCTTCCTTGTCTTTGTCCTTAGTTGTGTTTGTGAAGGTATGTCCCTGGGTTCCTAATTTAGGCTCCTTGATATTTAGCCACCATTTTGCCATTGTCACCATCATCTTTATGCTGCAGCATTAAAACTAGAATGCAAGTCAGGGCATATGGGTTTATTTAACACTGATAATACTTTCCACAATTATTTCAGATATTTTAGATCATTCCTCTTTCCTGACACATCTTGGAGTCAGCATGTAGATCTCTACAAAATTGGGTAGAATTTAATTGTGAGTTCTGTTAGATTAGAATCTCAGCATAAGGAGGAGCAGCATATTAGTAAGAGCACTCATATCAAGACTGGATGAGGCAACCCAGTAGGAGGAAAAGGGTCTCAAGAGCAGGCAAGAGTCAGACACATCCCCTGCCCCATTGTTGGAGTTCTTCAAGAATACCCAGCTACAAAACCTTAACATCTATGCAAAGGACCTAGCTCAGACCCATGCAGGGTCCATGATTGTCTCTTCAGTCTTTGTGATCACCTTTGAGCCCTGTTTAGTCGATTATGTGGGATGTGTTCTTGTGGTGTCCTCAACCCCTCTGGCTCTTGCAAGACTTCCCCTTGATATTCTGTGAATTTCCCCTGGCTCCACCTAGTGTTTTACTGTGAGTCTCTGCATCTGCTCCCATCAGTTGCTACATGACGCCTCTCTGAAGACAATTGACTAGGCACCAACCTATGAGTATAGCAGAATATCATTAGTAATCACTTCTTTGGATTTTTCCCCCATTTATGTTTGGTTCTATCCTGGGTCTCTGGGCTGTCCTGCCTCTGATTCCTGGGTATCCATTCAGTGTCAGGTGTGTGCTCTCTCTTATGGTGTCAGCCTCAAGTTGAATCAGTCATTAGTTGGCCACCCCCACAAGTTCTGTTCCACTTTTACCCAGCATATCTTGCAGGCAGGACAAAATGTAAGTCGAAGGTTTTGTGGTTGGGCTGGTGACCCAATTTCTGCACTGGAAGCCTTGCCTGCCTTGTTATAGAAGATGGCCAGTTCAGACACAATATCTACCATACTAGAGAATTCTTTGATAAGGTCACTCTTTAACATTCCATGGAGTTTTCACTGCACTATGTTTCTACATTGCCTCCAAAATGTTCCCCAATTCCAGTTGTCTCTTCCAGTACTTTCTCCCTCCACTCCCCCCTGTTGGATCCCTCCTATTTCCAATCCCACATACCTCCAGTCCAATTACAAAATCTGTTCTATTTCCTTTTCCAACAGAGATCCATGAGATCTTCCCTTGAGTCCTCTGAGTCTGTG